ACTGGCGGCATATTCCAATATAAGGAACTCTCTCAAGCTGACGCTGTGACTGAAAATAAGAAAATACTAATATTAGAGAGCAGCACATAGTGGTTGTAAAGCCTTCGATGTACTTGCCCTCTAAGTAATATGTCAAACACGAAAGACCGTGTTTGACCACATTCCAAACACCGAGAAGGGAGGTGAAAAAACGACGCGTAAAGAAGTATTTTTGACGAACGTCGAGGTGTTTGAAATGTGGTCAAACACTGTCTTGAGTGTTTGATATTTCTTCTCAATCGAAACTAAAACTAAGGAGGAAAACGTAGAAATAAAATCTTAAAAATCTATGCTAATTAAGATCAGATATCCAAACACCGTCACGGTCATGATTTCCTTTGTTTAAACTCGATGAATTGTTAATGACTTTGAGAATATAATTTCAAAGTTGATGAAAACATAGTGTAACCATTCAAATGAAAGCTACCGAGCAGCACTCTCTTGTAGTACTGTTTATTATGTTCTACAAGGTGTTTGTATCCAGCGTGACCATTAATCAGGTGAACGCCATCCAGGAGAGCCATATGGTGCAGTTTAATATAAAAAATTAAAAAATATATATAACTTTGTTTTGGCCCTCCGTCAGTGTTTATTGCAAAAAGGCTAGTGGGGATGAGTAATTTTTATTTTTAAAAATACCAGGAACAAATAATTCTACTGTACAAGGTGTTTTGTAATTTTAAGTTCTTTTAGGTATTTTCAAGAGGTACTGCCGCGCACAATAAACTGTTCATAAATTGTCAAATTTTCTTCAACCTGATGTGATGCAAGTCCAGCTGTCCACAATGATGTAACAAGTCAGTCAGATGTGCGACAAACCACCAGTTACCAAGAGCGTCACTATCAACAAACAATACACATATTAATCACCAATCCCAAAGTTAACATTTAGTTTGTCATCTTAGGCAGCCTCCACACTACCCTGGGGAAATTTGAAAACGCGGCTTTAGCCTACCGTCCACACTGGTCCGTCGCGAAAACGGAGCTTTTCGAAAACGCTCTTCAAACCAGATGAATGTGAAAACGCCGGCTGTGGACGGAAAACATTTTGAAAACGGAGCTTTCCGAAAACGATGGTGTTACGATAACCACGTGATTTCGAATTCCCTGGCCGAGTTTTCCTCAAATACAAATCCAAAATGATCAGCGATTGTTGCGTTTTTAAATTCCTCCAGCGTAGTGTGGGGAAGGAAAACATTTGCTGCGTTTACAGAGTGAAAAAGACGTTTCCAAATTTCTCAGGCGTAGTGTGGACGGGGCCTTAGAGTCATGATCTTTGTTAGAGAAAATCGAGTTTCGAGGGACAACATTCTGTCATACCATCCGTTCTTTCCCAAGGGAAAAATCGTCAAATGTTTTGTTTAACAAAAACACTACATGTATTCTAGATTTGCCCACAAGTAGAGCTGTGAAAGCTGAGCTTGGAAAGAGAAAAATGTGTGTGACACTTAAAACTTGATAGCGAAGAGCGCGAGTTAGAGGAGCATACCTACAAATGCAAAGGACTTTGACAAAGTCTACAGGTCATCCTGATTAGAGTACACCTGGGTAGCTTGCTGGATTTCATGTGCAAGTGCTGTGTGTTGACAGTGGGGCCATGAACACAAGAATTGACAACAAAACAAAGCACTTGCGCAGCTATGCAGATTTGATGGCTCTTATATGGCTGAGTACTATGAGTCAATTAATAACACTAACCAAGCCATTGGACCAAACCAAACTCCAGCCACATAATAATACCTGCTCTCCTTGATTACAGCATGAACATCAAACTCAAATGCACACAATAGAATTCTGTCAAAACTGTGCAAATTTGCATTTCCTCCAAACTTGTCAATGCAAGCCTAGTATAAATGAAACCAAAAAGAACAAGGTGAATTTAAAAAAAAACGAAATTCAAGACCTGTCATGCCGGATTTTGGGCAAAGCTAGGTTTCAAAAGGGTTTTTTCTCTGAGCATGGTGTGCTAAGTCAGCATGGTATTATTTGCCAGCAACTTATTTTCATAGGATTATATTGTTAGAAACTTAACTAAATACTGTAATTATTTCCTTACCTGCATATGGTATTGATATTGTATACTAACTCAGAAGTAACTTATCTTAACCTGATTAATATGAGCTCTGTACTTCAAATTACAGTAATTGGCAAAGTAACAGTCTGTTATTGGCAAAATCACGACCACAGAACAAACAAGGACGATTTCCAACTGTTGGTTATTTTCCTACAAATCGAGTTAGAATATTTCAAATTCCCTGTTATTTCAAACTCAAAACCATTTCGCTCGGATTCGTCCTTGAGTCATTTTTACTACAGTAAAAACCTGCATAAAAAAACACGTTTTGGATTTTCAGGCTGATTTTGTTCTTATATATCGAGTGTTTTCTGCAAAATCAGCCTGAAAATGTTCTTAAGGTGTTCTTAAAATTGTTTCTAAAAATTAAATACTGCATAGACAACCAACAGATGAATGTGCAAGCATGACATTTCAATTAATTAATGGATAGCACATATATTGATCTACTTAGTAATGTACTTAGTACTGTACCCTGGTAGGTTATTCTAATCTAACTGGCAGCCAATTTTTTTTTTTTTATGTAAGAACAATTTTCATCCTTCAGGCTAAATATGTTCTTATGTGTATGGTACTTTTTTGACCAAATTTCCGCCAGAGCGTTCTTAATCCACTTGTTCTTTTATGCAGGCTTTTACTGTATTCGCTGTTTCGAACTCCTGCTCTTTCTAACTATTTTTTTGTTTCCCCTAAGAGTTAGGAATAGCAAGATTCAACTGTAACT